GGGGAGGGGGGTGTGCTCTGCCATGAGGAAGTTCGGTTTAAAGACACATCCCGGGGGCGTTTCTGGTCCCAAAATGTGTTTCTGGTCCCCACCTGTCGTTTTGCTCCGTTTTGATTTCTCAAACATGCATGAATGAGTCAGAGCAAGGCTTTGGGCATGTTTTTTTTATGAGAGTAGAACATTATATAAAACACAAAAAAGTTGATTTTACAATATATTGCCCCATTTGGTTAATCCAAACGAACCATTAAATGGTTTGATAAGAAATTTGTGGTAGCTTTCAGACTTAAATATGGTCACCCACCACACTAAGAATAGGCTATAACTTGTGCTAAAGTTCAGTAAACAGATGAAATGAAGCTACAATCTGTGTTGCTGTCATGGGGCACCTTAAGGGGGGTAACGTCATTCATTTCAAAGCCCTCAGTGGCTGTGTTCACACTGCAGGTCTTAATGCTCAATTCTGATTKAAAAAAATCTGATTATTGGCATGAATGTCCACATACTTTAAATGTAAATTCCACCTGACAGCAGAACTCATCACAGTACTGATGCAACCCATGCACAGAAGACGTGACGTCACATTCAGCTCAGTGTTTATGGAATTAACTAAACATGGATGYTTCTTCTGAAGACATTGTGAGCTGAATAAATAATTCTTTGACAAGTTTGTTTAGTTCAGTGTTTACCTTGTAATCTCCCTCTGACCTGATGCTCTGGTAAAGCCTTTTATTTTTAAAATGAAGCAACGTGCTGAAAATAAAGTATCAATCAACTTTTGTATTGATACGATCCGCAGCTGACGTTGGATGTTACTATTATATATTTCTGCACATTCTCTGTCATCCAGGACATGGAAAACAAAAAGAACAAAAACAAAGCAACTGTTCTGTTCTGTAGCTGAAGATATGTGGAGGTACAAGATTTAAACAGCACGACTCGAGGTTACTGTCATTGTTTTATGGATCGATCTGCTCACCTCATCTCACAATGTGAAAGTCAGATGAAAGAACACGAGTGTTCAGACTGCAGTTGCTTTGAAAAGCATCGGATRTGTACATCTGATTCAGTGTGTACTGAAAAGGCCTGAGTTGGATTTGAAAAAAAAAAAGAAACCAACAGAAAAACAAAAACGAAACAGATTTATCATGTTCCGACTGTCGTGAAAAAAAAACCCGACATGAGTCACATGGGGCAAAAAATAATATTTAGTTTGCTTTTGTCTGCAGTGTGAATGTAGACTTTTATGGTAGTTGCATTTTGCCATTTCAGTACAGTCCCTCTGGGACCCCCTTTAGCTTGGGATACTAGACAAATGCCTACCTGCCTTCTGTAACTTCAGAGATCTGATTGCAGGTTGCRGTCAGGAGAAAGAGCGTCCCGTTCAGGACACTTCCATTTACGGGTCATCCTGGTTAATACAGGACAGTTGACAACTTTACCTCAGCCTCGAAGGCAGCGGGTGCTGTTCTGATCCACACATTAGTGCTAATGTTTACTCACAATGCCAACATTTGAGCTAGTATTATGCTCTCTGGCTCTTCAGGACTGGAGGAGCCAAATGACTGCCTGACTGCTGCCAACTAGCTGTCAGAGATTAAATTACAACTCGAAAATGAACCGCTGGCATGAAAGTTTACATTTTAAGCCCCRATAACAAATTGACACGTGCTTTAGAGAATTGACAGTATCAAAAAGTGAAATATTACAATATGTGACCCATCACATCGAAACGAGGTATAAGTGGTGTWTGGAGAAAAAGGCAAATATGGTGTTTTGACTAAAATGTTAACAAAAATTGCATTTTGTTAAAATATAATGAATTAATGTCTTATCAATGTATCATTTGAATAACTGTCTGAAATATAATCATGAAACAAAATTTTGAAGCACTTTTATGAGCAGTAGCAACAAAAAAAAACTGATTTTGTGGAAAAACACCTTAAATTTTTAAGATTTTCCCTGTGAGCTAGCAAAGTGTTGTTT